CCCACTGAGGGGTCTCGAGAGGGTAATTTGTAAAGCCAAGTGATTCACTTCACAGTTGGATGTCATAGGTTGAAGGACCGACTGAAGGGAGATCAGAGATTCGGAAAGAATCACGGGTTATAGTGATACTTAAGGCTCACCGACCAAGCCCTGCCTGAAGCTAAGGCTACTTCTTGAAGTTTCCGGTATGTGAGCAAAGAGTTCCCTTTATTGTTTACGCCACATTGAGTCAGCTTTTCTGATACTAAAACTCAAACCACCCTAACTGATACAGAGCCTGAAAAATGCACTTGGCTGGGGCAGGAGGTGAGGTCGAAGTCAGTGAGGACACCTTAGCTGGCACAGCAGCTGGTTACCCGCCATGGCCTGTTATAGATTCTTACCAAGGCCAGCTGCCAGCCACGGTTGCATCAAAAAGGGAAATTCAAGATGTTGGAGACTGGTTACTTCTTGCATAAATCAGTAAAGCCTGTTAAGAAAGAGATTAGCTGACTTTGAAGTTGGCTTCTCTGTTAGCAGAGAAGGAAAAAAGTTTATGAGTCCCTTTCTACTCACTGCCTGCAAACCCAGCTGGTTGAGAATCAGTGATCTGGAAAAGCAGAATTCTCCACTCCAAGCTAATGTTTGTATAAGCAGAAATGGGAAGATGGGAGGCTAGGAAGGGGTCCATAAACAGCCTGATCCTTCCCCTCTTCTTTTAAGTATTTATCTTGTGAACAAGATGAACAATCGCGTTCTTTGTGAAGGCATAGTTGGGATGCAGGCAGAGAGGCAGGGAGCGAATTGTGGTGACCTCCATGCTGTGGCACTGTTTCATCAGCAGAGGGCAGTGTGGAAGAAGAAGTCGGTGAAATGGGAAGGATGTGGCAGGGAAAGGGATGATTAGAGCTGCCAGAGGTGAGCTTGAGAGGTTCTCTGAAACCCAGTCCTAGGAGTGACCCCGGCTGACAGGTTTTTGGATTCTAATTAACCACCCAGTAGAATTGACCAAAAACAGACCAGAAGCCTTGAAAAGCTGAAAGGAAGTTGTACTGCCTCTGAAACACCAAGGCTGGCCCCCAACAGCCTACGACTGCACCCCAACAGTGGTTCTGTGCATTAACATCACCTCAGGAGCTTTTAAATCACCGATGCCCCACCCCACCTAACTCCAATTAAAGTGGTAACTTTTGAGTGAGGTCCTGGTATTGGGGATTTTTTAAATCTCCCCCCAATGATTCTAAAGTGAACTCCATCTCCCACAGGAAATAGACAGACTTTATCAGGGGTATTCACCTCCAATAAAATACAGGATTCCCAGTTAAATTTGAATTTCAGATACACAACAAATAATTTTTGTATAAGTATGTCCCAAATATTGCATGGGACATACTTTTACTAAAAAAATTATTCATACTCTATTTTTATTTGCTAACTCTGGCCACTCTAGCCCCCAAGCCTCACCTCAGATATGACTAGTTAGAACATTCTCCCCAGCCCTGGCCAGGTGGCTCAGTTGGTTGGAGTGTCATCCAGTACACCAAAAAGTTGCTGGCTCAATTCCTGGTCAGGGCACATACCCAGGTTGCAGGATTCAATCCCTGGTTAGGGCATTTACAGGAGGCAACCAATAAATGTTTCTCTCTCTCCCTTCCTCTCTTTTTACTGTGAGTTGAAAGGGAGGCATTATTGTAGTCACAATATAGAGAAAATTTTGTATTTTTCTTATACTTGATATTATGAGACTTTTCCAAATCATTCCAGTATTTTTAAAAGCTGCCTAATTTATTCAATCATCATCCTAGTGTATTAATGTTATCATGCATTATTGTAGCACGAACATTTGGACTGGTTCCAATTTTTTGTTATAAATAAAGTGTAGCAAACATTTATATGCATAAAACTTTCTCCACAAATGATCTTATTTCCCTAATATATTTTCCTAGCTATAGACTTTCTGGGTCAAAAAATAAGGACCGCTCTAACCGGTTTGGCTCAGTGGGTAGAGCGTCAGCCTGAGGACTCAAGGGTCCCAGGTTTGATTCCAGTCAAGGGCATGTACCTTGGTTGCGAGCACATCCCCAGTAGGGGGTGTGCAAGAGACAGCTGATCGATGTTTCTCTCTCATTGATGTTTCTAACTCTCTATCCCTCTCCCTTCTTCTCTGTAAAAATCAATAAAATATATTTTAAAATAATAAGGACATGTGAGGCTTCTAATCTATATAGATGCTCCATAACAGATGCATGTTTATTTCCTCTCCCTACTGTTGAACCCAGTGATGACATATTGTAGGGACTTGTGAATGTTTGATGAAGGAAACAGTGATTTTAAAAAAGCTGACCTTATCACTCCTGTTATGCCTGTACCCCAAGCTTCCCCAATTCCATTCTGCCCATCTGGGTCTGGATCAAACATGGCTCAGGCTACTTAAGACTTTGTGACATGACATATGTCACACCTGTGAAGAACATAAGTCTGTGCTCTGTGGAAGGGAAAGGGGAATGGTACAGTTCATAGATAGATCTGTTAATGGTAGAAGGAACCAGCTAAGTTTGGTACCCTGGTGATAACTCCTGGCTTCCCCCTCACTAAATCATCCCAGGTTAATCATTTCCTTCGAAGCGCCAACCAACGGGATGTCATGGTCTTTTTCACCCAGGGTGTGGTTTAAGTGTGACTTGTGTGCCCAGGATGCTGTGGCATCATCACAGATGTCACCCTAGATCAGCCGTGGGCAAACTACGGCCCGCGAGCCAGATTGGGCCCGTTTGAAATGAATAAAACTAAAAAAAAAAAAAGACCGTACCCTTTTATGTAATGATGTTTACTTTGAATTTCTATTAGTTCACACAAACACTCCATCCATGCTTTTGTTCCGGCCCTCCGGTCCAGTTTAAGAACCCATTGTGGCCCTCGAGTCAAAAAGTTTGCCCACCCCTGCCCTAGATGGTCAGAAGAGCTGTAACAAGTGTCATATCTGCCCTGTGGAAGGAATCACTAATCTGTAGATCTCTCCATGAACTTACAGCTGACACTAACATTATATGACCTCCTCTCACTGTCCAAAATCTTTCCACACAATCTCCCCCAACAAGTGAGCAACTGAGCTCTTCTTGTGTACCTGGAACCTCCACATGACCGAGGTACCTCAGCATGTGCACCTCGTGACATGACACCATCCCCAGCCTCCTGTTCCTCACAGCCTAGAGTTGCCTATAAATAGGCAGGACATGGGTTGGGACACGAAATGGATGTAGGCAGCGGCAAGTGTCCAGTCCCATCTTGGCTTTGCCCACACTCCTCCACCTGCCCAGTATCATTGAGGTTTCAAAGGCTGCTCTTGTTAACATCTCCTCACCACAGCCCAGTTCACAAGTCTCACCCTCTGTACCACAGGATTCTCTCGACCCTCATCCTTGTTTCCCTTTAGAGTTGTGTCCCAACGCTCTGGGATGTCTGAACCATATCATTTAAGTCCCATGGCTTGAGATTCCCTAAGTAAAAGCTAAGAACTTCACAGAAGGTTTCAAAATATTCTGGGCTGTTTCCCAATGACTTTTATGTATCCTCATCTCTGGACATGAAAGACAGAGGAGGGCAAATGCCAGGTCGCACTGGTTCCTACGATGAGCCAAATGGCGGATTCCCCTCCGTTCTCCTGAAGAGATCCCCCCTATGAGTGATTTTCAGAACCATCTGTGAACCAGATGAAGTTCCCCCAAAGAGATGGAACAAGGGACAACGGTTCCAATAGCTCTATTCCCTGAAGAGGGAGCAAGACAAGGGCAGAGAGTCAAAACAAAAATTCAAGGTAAAGAAGAAATGCTTAGCTTCCTTGGTTCCCTTTATGCCCTACTCTGAGACCCTGAGCAGTGACATCTCCATCAACTTTCTGCTGGTCCCCTCAGGGGGTGGAAGAAGTTGAGTTGGCTTTTTTCGGGCTGATTTCCACTTCCTCGCAGTTAGGGCAGACACCACACTGCCTCTCTTACTTCTCTCCAGACCTGTCATAAATGTGTTGATTACAGTGACACTAACAGACAGTGTTCCTACTGTTGTGTGATGTCAGTACTTTTCCTCCTTCCTGGAGAGAAGCAGGGCTTGTGGAGGAGAGATAACATGGGACACGGGGTGTGGAGAAGACAGTCATAGGTAGGGGGCTTTATTTCTTTCTGGTTTGTTTCTTTTCTCTTCCCAGGATTTTAAAAATAAAATTGCATATAAAATTTTGCATCCTGCTTATTAATACTTAATATTAAAAATCAAGTATTGTCATGTCACTCTTTCTGATAATGGTCCATCAATGGGTTAACTTTATCATTCCAACACTGTAGAATGTGTAGTTTGCTGTCAATTATTTGATCATAGATAAACTGCACCAAACAACATTGTCCCTAATATGCTCCACATTTGTGAGGTCATTTCCATAGAATAGATTATGAGAAATAGATTATGAGTTCAAAGAGTATGGACATTTTTAAGGCTGCTGACCACACCCAGTGTTATATCAAGACATCATTGTAGGTCTGTGGTGAATGTTTGATAAATAGACCATTACTGGAAGGTTAATTCTTACTTTTACCATTCTTATACCTCCAGGCTTCCCAATTCTGTATTTTCCATCTACAGTGTGTGTCCCTTGGCTTATGCTGCCTGAGACTCGGTGACATTATTATTCTTGTCACATTTAAATGGACAGAACAGCTGTGGAAGTGCACCAGAACACTGCTCTATGGAAGGAGACGGTGACCCCACACTTCAGAGAGATCTGTCATGTGGAAAGGAAACAGCTAAGCATGATCCCTGGGCGGTGCCAATTCCTGGTCACCCATCTGGAGAAACAACTTCCTCATAAGCATCCCAATCACATTAGCAATTGAGCCATTCTTGTGTGTACCCTCAACTTCTGGAGTAACCTCAGGCAACCCTGGTTGTACAACCCACGTGACACCAAAATACGTAAAATTTCTTGCTTAGGCACCTCCAATTCCTATGCTCCCACTGCCCAGGGCCGCCTATAAAAGGAGGGAAGGTAGTGCAGATCCTAGAAGGCAGCCAGCAGCAGTGATTGCCAAAGCTCCGTCTCAGTTCTGCCCACACTCCTCTGCCTGCCCCGCATCATGAAGTTCCTTGGAGCTACCGTCCTTGTCATCCTCTGCACCAGGGTCCTCTACTCCTACGAGGAAGGTGAGTTTGTTGTCCACTTTTCTGAAACACAGTTGCTCCCCACTCTCTGCCCAGAAGTCAGCCCACATCTTCCAAATCTTCTGGCCTGAGGACCCCCATGTGAAATTAGAGAACTTTGAATGGGGTTCCAAGATAACACTGTTGTTTTCTTCAAGAGGGTTCAAAATGGAGTCTATTGATCTGGGTGGCAGGATTTTATATTACTTTTTGGGTGCGATCATTAAAGTTTCATTTATTGGGTTATTAGCATGAGGTAGAATCTAGGTCTATTTAGATCCTATGGGTGCTGGTAAGTTTTAGAATCCCTTAGCTATTCCCAAGAGTTGTAAGAATTGTCCCTACATTCACTCGGCTATCTTATGATTTAATGGATTAGAAAAGAAATTTCCCCCAAAGAGATTTAGGAAATGAGAGTAGAATTTGGTTCCCTATAGAGTAATTAGAGACCAAAATGAAGAGACAAACCAAAGACAAGACTAAGAAAATGAATGAGAAACGAACAAAAAAGCCAAGTTATATCCAGTTTCCTTTTCCCCCAAGCCTCATCGCTGAGCTGTCCCTCTCCATTTCTTCCTGACCCTCTCAGGCTTGCCTGCGCTCCTGAGCAACTCCTTGTTGTCCTTGTTTCCCCACAGAAAGCACTGACATCTCAGTCACCTGCTGCATGACCTACGTGACCCGGCAGATCCCCCGCAAATTTGTGGTTGCCTACTTTGAGACCAGCACCAAGTGCCCCCAATATGGTGTTGTGTAAGTGTCAGTCCCCCTGCCCATCCCTGGGGTGACACAGAACACAGGAGTCTGAGTGGGGAGGGGTTCACAAGTGCACCAGCTGATGGATGAGGAGCCATCCTGGGAAAGCCCCGCCCTCTGGGGGCCTTTTGTGCATGCAGGACAAAGAGAGAGGCCCCTGGGGCTGTTTACTGATGTGAAATGGGGCCTTCAGGGAGCCAGGAAGGTGTGCCCAAAAGCAGAGGGGAAAGAGGAAAGAAAGAGACAGCAGAAAAGAGGCGGCCTTAGGTTATTTTCATAAATCACTCAGAGAAAGACCAAAAGTCCCTGAGGGTTGGGGGATGATTCCTTGACAGGATGGACTAGCCCTGAGCTGCCCACAAGGATGAGGATAAAGGGTCCACAGGTGGTCAAGCATGTCCTTACTCATCCTCTATATAATACTTCTGCCTTCTCTACAGCTTTCTCACCAAAAGGGGCCGGAATATCTGTGCCAATCCCAGCGATGCCTGGGTTCAGAAATACATCAACAACCTGAAGGAGACTCCCCAAGCAGTCCAGTAGGTCAGTTCTCCAATGGGCAGCAGGGATGCTGACTAGGGGAATGTCCCTGCAGCCCCAGAAGTTCCCTGCCCGCTGCGTCCTTCCCCTCCACTAACCACATTCTGAAAGCTCTCTTTAATTTAGTAAAGTACGTAAATATTGTAAATTGTTGTATTCCTTTGATGCTTTTTTAAAATGATTTCGCTGAGAAATCATTATAACACCCTCTTATCCCCAAATCTTTTCCCAGTCAAGCATACATTGGTTGCCTCAGGATCCGGGTTATGGTGAATTATTGTGCTCCTGTCTCTGAGTAGGCATTGGACCAAATCTATCAACAGATGCTTATTGAGTTTGTATAAGCCCTTTGCTCTGTTAAAACTGTCAGAATAATAAAGATTATTTTTGCTTTCTTCAGTAAATATTGGACTTCTGGTTATTCTTTTGTTTTTTCATTTCCCTGATAAATCCTTTTCATTGGTTGGAAGGAAAGAGATAGGATGATTAGGGGCATCTAAGGGGAGGAAAGGGAAAGAATAAGTGTTGTTCTAACAACACCAGGCTTTATGCATGTGAAATGATGCTCATGCACTGCAAAAGCAGCAAAGTATTAAAAACAAGTGCAAACTTACATGCACAAGGGAAATCCACCATTTAAATGAACACCAAAGCAAATTATTCTAGCACGCATATGTATGCACTTTCATAAATTCAGCTTTCTTAAGAATGAAGACTAGGTCCTTCTTAATCCTTCTGCCCTTCTCCATAGCTTCCAAACTAAATGAGGTTGGCTGGTGTGTGTCAACCCCAGTGATACCTGAGTCCAGGAGTTTATCAGGAACCCGGAGTTATTCTATTCACATAATATTATAGAAAAGGTGAAACTTTAGGGAAATAAATCTAATCAATGGGTGCAAAAAACTGGGATGAGGGAGGGTGCTGACTGAAAAGGGGGAACAAGGGTACCTTTTTTTGGAGTTTTGGAAATATCCTAAATTTTCACTGTGGTAATGGTCAAAATTCATCAAACTACGCTTACCTCCCTCCTACTGTCCTGGATTGCTCCCTCCATATCTAATTAAATACTAAATTTGAGAAGTATTAATATTAGAGAGGGTGTGGAACTGGCACACATGTCTGCTACTGGGAGTGTGAATTGGTCCCATTGCTTTGGGAAGACTTCAGAATAAAGGTGAGCATAGCTTACTTCTCTCATACAGCCTACAGATACCGTTC